CCAACACCAAATTTTGTTCATCATTGCAGCTCTTCGCCGAAGCATTAATTTGAGACCCATACAGCGCAACATGTCTTCTTGTATTGGATCAAGTTCACAGATACACGACACGAGGCAGATACTCTCCTAAGTAGTTGTATGTACGAGGGTAGTTCATTAATTTCTGGCACCTAGAAAAATGTGCCTCCTTACTCTGCGGATCCTTGGCTTGCATTCTTGTCCAAAATTTTTTGAAAATTTCATCAACGGGGAGCAGTTCAGTTTCTTTCGGATTCTCAATAACTCCCTTTGGGTTTATCGTGTTCAGAAAAAAAAAAAAGATTGTTTAATTCACTGTTTCGTCTGCTTCGCGGGATATTTTTTTATCTATGTGGAGGCTTTTTATTCATTTATTTTTGCCATTTTTTTGTGAGATTTGAAATTTCATAGATCTAGTAGTGAAATTTCAACCTTTTATCACATCAAATTAAAATTTCTGAATAGGTTTGAAGCAACGTTTTATTTTATTTTAACATAAGAAAACATGCATAGATTTATTGAGTTACAATAATTCTTTGGATGATAAAGATACATTCGAGTTACAAATAATGTTATTTTAATGCGTGATGATTTATCAGATTTGCTACATCCATTAAATTTTAGACGTCAATGCACTATAATTATAACACGATGTATTTTCTAAGTACATAATTATTGCAATCTAGCCTATGAAATGGTGAATATTTTCGCGAAGTGGAAGTGTCCTGTATAATGCCGCCATTAGGCATTCATGTGTAGATCGAGGTCACAAAATCGTAAAATTCAACAATAATTTATGACCTGTGCGTCTAGTCTGCCCGTCCATTTCTCGCCTGTGGTCCTAATCATTTACTCTCAGCTCCAAAAAGTAGCCGACTGGTCATCCTCGTGGTTTTTTCGTGGCACAGGATCTGCCTTCTTTTTTTTACTTTCGGTAGATGCTCTTTCTCGTCCAGCTATGAAGTACGTAAACATTTTGTCACACATTTGACTACGAAGAAGCCGATGCAGATGCAAGGAATCATACTATAAAAATATCAAGATTGTAAGAAAGAATTTCGATTCAAAGTCGTATTTCATTTTGCAAAAATGTATGTCAACTTTTTTTTTTTGATACATAGTTGGTGATTGAACCTTGAGACTATTGTCTGAGAAGCACAAGTATATGGGGACAGTTTAAGAACCTTAGGTTGAGTAGCACGTACGGTCACTGTATAACAACTGTAGCAAAAATTAGAAAAAATTTTCTTCTTTCCTGTTTACGGAAAACACGTACAAACTTTTGGATGAAAAATTTTTGGAAGGATAAGGATACATACTTAGGTAACATGGTGTAAAGAATTATCTTGTACAAATAACAAACCATATTTAGAAATGTATCTTGAAAAGTGTGAGACTTTCAAGAAGTGCTTCCTTGAAAATTGAATTTAGAACTTTTAATTCTCGAATTTAAACCTTAATTATAAGGTGAGGAACTAGGCTATACTCGATGTGTGTGGAGGTCAATTGTGGATTTGTCCACCTCGGCACCGTTTTGGGGTTAAGGGTGAGCCCTTTAAACTCTGGTAGCGCTTTTGGAGGGACCTCCCTAGGATTCGAACCCTTGACCTTTAAGGTTTTTGGGTTGGAATGCCTGGTATCACTTGGGCGCTAGGGTTTAAAGGGCTCATCCTTAACCCCAAGACGGTGCCGAAGTGGACAAATCCACAATTGGCCTCCACAAAAAGGCAACCTTTGAGGTTGGAATGCCTGGCTTTTTTGTGGAGGTCAATTGTGGATTTGTACACCTCGACACCGTCTTGGGGTTAAGGGTGAGTCCTTTAAACCCTAGTAGCGCTTTTGGAGGGGTCTCCCCAGGATTCGAACCCTTGACCTTTAAGGTCTTTGAATTAGAATGCCTGGTACCACTTGACCTCGCCCAAGTGGTATCAGGCATTCCAACCCAAAGACCTTAAAGGTCAAGGGTTCGAATCCTTGAGAGACCCCTCCAAAAGCGCTACCAGGTTTAAAGGGCTCACCCTTAGCCCCAAGACGATGCCGAGGTGGACAAATTCACAATTGGCCTCCACAAAAAGACACTAACTCAAGTGGTACCAGGCATTCCAACTCAAAGACCTTAAAGGTCAAGGGTTCAAATCCTGGGAAGGCCCCTCTAAAAGCGCTACCAGGGTTTAAAGGGCTCACCTTTAACCCCAAAACGGTGCCTAGGTGGACAAATCCACAATTTGCCTTCACAACGTGCACACTTCTTCGTTTAAGATTAAGAATAATCTCATAACATGAATCATCCAGATTAATGATTAATAATAATGTAGCACATAACATGTCACATAACGTACATGAATCATCCAATACCTTTTTCTGGATTAAGATTTAAGGGCTGGCTTTTGTGTATGGCGCAACATAGACTCTCATATAGGCCTGTCAATCGGGCCTAATGAGCCGAGCTTTGATAAGCTCAAGCTCAGCTCATTTAATTTGAATCATTTTCGAGCTTCGGGCTCGTAAATGTGAACCTCATACTCAACTCACATAATATTCGGGTTGTGAGCCTTAATCGGGTTTAGCCCAATCTCACTTATTACTCCTTAATTTTCTTAATATAATTACTATAACTATTAAGTTGTAAAACTAATGTAACATTTACAAGACTATAATATTAAAACTAAACATGAACAAATAATAGTTCTTAAAACGTATATAAATCAAAAATTTTTCAACAATATTTATATTTAATCCATTCAAAATGCATGAAAAATAGTAATAAAACATGCAATCATAAGCCAATACATCTTTAAAAGTTGAAACTTTTTTTATAATATTGTGATTTAAATCCAAATATGCTTGATGATTTTTGTGTTTGTAGACAAAAAAAAAAATCAACCAATATTATGCCAATACAAAAATTTACTCAGCCAATAAGAAAAATTAGAGATTTAGTTATACATTACCAATATTGGCTCTCAAGAAAGCTCATGAAAGAGTTTTTAGATGTATTTTTGTGTTTTGTAATTTATGTATATATTTAGTATTTAGTAATAATATATTTGGATATATAATTATACATAATATCAAAATATAAATATTATATATATAGGTAATTAAAGGGCCGGACCTATATCGGGTTTGAGTCTAATAAGGCCCAAGCTCGGCTCACATTTTATTCGGACCTAATTTTTAGGCTCAGGCTCAGACCGGCTCACTAAATGATCGGGCTCATCGGGCTTTCTGTCGGGCCGAACGAGCCGAGCTTGGGATGGCCCAACCCCATCGACAGTCCTACTCTCATACAACAATACAATAAATGCAGATACTGAACTAATTGTAGATACTAAAATACTAGCAACACATAAAAGCACAACCAATTTTTGTTGCTTATTAAAATTGTTGCCAACAAATTCAATCATAGCCATCCATTTCAAAATCACACACCATCACTGTCAACTGTGACCGCAAAGATCCAGATTCGTCAATGATATGGTCCGTTGGTCCAATCGTAGGTCAAAAAAGCCGGACAAGGTAAAAGAATTTTCCAGATTTCCGTCTTCAACAAGCGTATCAGTCATACTCAAACAATTAATCGACCCCACTTAAGTTAAGTCCCTCGTTAACCTTTGTCAATAAGCCAAGAAGTATAAAAAAGAAAAAAAGGATCGTTGAGAGCCAGATAACCCCCGAGTTTCGACCATGGAGCCATCTTTCAAGACATTTACCAATCACCAGCGTTGGGTGGTCGGATACATTAATGTTGTACTTTTTGCACTTGGGATGGCAGTTCCCTCCGTCATATGTGGCGCTCGGGTGGCCAGAACCGACGGAGCCCTTCTGTCGTGCCGACTTAGGATTTAATTTCATCAACCTCCAGAATTCCAACATTTCTCAATCCTACGCCACGAGTTGTTGCTTAGGATCCGATTAGCGGGAGTGAGGGCCAAGAGGACGAGCTTAGCAGAGTTCATTTCGGACATTCCTAATACGTCCCATAAAACACGTCCGACGTACATTTGCAACGTTCTGCGAACAGGAGGATCAACCTGTACTAGTACTAGCTCTCTAGACGTCCAGTTCAATCATGCTTGAATATGCGTAGCAAAAAATGTCACGGTACGTGGGCAGCCTGTATCATGAGATTAATCTTCAAAGAACAAAAAAAATGCACGAAAAATTGTAAATATTTATAAATACAAAGAAGCCTCGTTCTTGCTGACTACGACCGGCGCCGCTATAAAATGTACTGGTAACAGATGTTCCAGCGGGCAACCACACATGGAAGCTGCTGTAATTGCGATCATTGATGGAGCAGTGCAAGTGTAAATGGATTTAGGCTAAGACGCAAGCATTTGCGTTATCTAACCGCACCCCACCCCACCCCACCCCACCCCACCCCACCACCAAGAAGCGTAATTACGGCAACTTCCCCACTTCTTAATGAACTCTATGAAACTTTTCGTTGCTCCAGTTTACTACCAAATTGATCAGGTATGATGCTGGATGACGTCAACAGGACGTCATGCCTAATAGTTCCACTCAGACTGCTTCGTTTACAAAGGTTGAATTTTTGGTCATGTCACGCACGCCACAAGACGACAGCTTGGTATCAATTTCCGTCTTTAATTATCGGCTCAGATCAGAACGGCCATAAAAATCAGGATACAGTGCCAGGCAACAATTTGGTATCAGAATTTTGTCGCAATCTGCCTTGATTTCGATGTTTAGTGAAGAATTAACAGGTGAGATGACGTGAAAATCAAGCTCAGCTACAAGTTATAGCTATATATCTCGTGTACAAACTACTTGTGGTCATTTGGAAATCCCGCATTCAATGTTAATAAGCAGATCAATTCAGAAGAGTGACACAGCAGAAGAAGTAATACTCGATCGATCGATCGATGCTGTCATGTATCATTTACTGAGTCACCATATATATATGTATATAGCTGTAGTATATCCAGCTGAAGGTAAAAAAAAAAAAAAACAAGTAATAATAATAAATAAGGAAAACAAATCTTAACTTGGTGAAAAGAGAAAAATTAAAACAAAAGGAAGTACCATCTGGTAACTTTGCAGCTGTTCTTCGCCGCCAAGCCAACTAGCTATACTAAATTTTGGGAATAGAATTTTCTAGTTCTTGCATGGAGAATAACAGCTAGTAAAGTTCCAAGAAGGCATAGAGAACCCCATATGATAAAGGTAGTTTCATAGCATTTTACCCCCATACAGCTGCCATCTGCTGCGGTTTCTTGATTCTTATAGAGTATAGCTGCTAGATCACCAAATACAAATGAGCCCACTGGGATATTGGTAACCAATATGTTATGATTTACACCAAAGTTTTTTGCTCCGAACAGCTCGGTTGTGGTAGGGACAGAGATAGAAGTGATTGCGCCTGTGCATGTACCTATGATGGCGGTGCTGATGTAAAGAGAAAGATTATTCCCCATGAGAAGCAAGAAAAAGGCTCCAGATAACGGGATCATCGTCAGTGCAATTGATGCTGGTCTTGAAACTACGTAGTTTTTTCTGTCAATTCAAGACAAGTAAAGCTGGAAAATGAGCCATCCCAGTCTCAAGAGAGAAAAATCAAAAAAAGAGAGAGGAAAATATTCGAGTTTAGCCTCTCTTTTTTCAATTTTTTTACTTACTTGGTCAAATGATAGTCCACAACTGACGGAATGAGTCGACCGAAAAAAGTAAATGATGAACACAACGAGACAAGGGATGAAGTCCTTGAGCTGCCGCGAGACTCAACAATCTGTCCCAAGTTATTGAGATAAACTAAGCCAAGGGTTGCTCCCAACAGATAGGCGAAGTAGTACAACCAAAAATCTACTCTTTGTAACATCAATCTCACTCCCAGTTCCTCCCTAACACGCACGTTATAGACTTCGCTTCCATTTTCTTGCGCCTCTCCACTCTCCATTGATCTCATGATATTGTCATCGTTATTTTCCGTGGCTACATGGCACACTCTCATTTCTCTTCTTAACCAACATTTCTGCTGTAACGATTCCCTGATTTTTTCACCCAATGGAACTGCGAGAGGGACGGCAAGAAATAATCCCATTCCAATAACCATAATCACCGGTGGGAGTGAACTTGTGATGGAGCTAAAACTACTTAGAATAGCATAGATTCCCGTCAATGTTGTTATGACAAACATAGCAATGAACCCACCTGCCAAGTTCTTTGATTTTCCTATCTTGACATGCTTCGCGATAGGTGAAGTTGCAATACATACTAACAGAGGCACTACAGCGTTGAGGAGTAGGTAGGTTTTGGCTCTGTGACTTGGTGAAGTGCGACTAACAACATCAACAAGGACCGTGAAAATCTTTGCAGATAGACCTTGGTAACTAGTCGATAAACCCACAGCAATTTGGCGATCAAAAGGGAAATTTTGAATGGCAATAATGTAACTAACAGTGTTGATCCAACATATGCCATTTCCAGCTAAAGAAGTCAGTAAAAATATGTGCCAGTAAGATAAACCGGAAATTTGGTTTGTTATGAAGAGATATTGAACCCCATAACCCATAAATCCAAGAGTTGCGCCGATCATAAGGACTAGCCAAAGTGGCAAATAAGCCGTGGCGATCCCAGAAAGCCAACCGAGCAATTTCCCGGCATCAGAAGCAAGAGCCAAGTTGTTCAACTGGAGTTGCGATAGTGAGAGAAGATGCTTGAGTTGGGAAGAATAAGCAGGAAAGTTTGTGTTGGTTCCATTTATGCATTGTAGCCAAATGGCAGCTATCAAACTAAGCCACTGTATGGCCATAGAAGGCAGATAAAACGTAGCTTAGCAGTGGAATTGGTTGAAATTCTTTCAAAGTGATGAATATATATGTTTATATAGCGTGTTTTGTTGTGGGGTAATATGTGGAGTTAAAGAGAGTAAATAGAGAGAGTCGAGATACAATGGAGATGAACAATTTTATATTGTGGTGGTTAGGCCAAGAATGTGTTCGTTCAAGGACCACCACCTTTGCAATTAATGGCTTTTGGGTTTGATGTGTGTGAAATGAAAAATAAGGTATCAGCAATGCTACGGATCGTTAATTGTCAATGGTGAAGGATGGTAATCTCGTAATTGGGCAATCAGCAGCGACTAACGGCCACCGTTTCCGTGCCGTCGCCTAATGAAGACCTGTAATCTCTGGCGAATAAAAAAGAGGTTTATAACTTGAAGTTATTGGCGTCATGCTCATGCACGAGAATACGTGACTCGTCCTCCTCCTCCTCCTCCTGTTTTTTCGAATTTGGACATTCCCAGTAGATTTGTTTTGAATAAAGGCCTCTGCATCTTAATTTTTCAACTTTAACTATTGTACTAAAATCTCTTCGACAATAGGACAATTAGCTTAAACAATACTTTTGCGAGAATACACGCATGCAATATATTCAAACCCTTAATTTCCCGTCTTTGACCTTTGTAAACTGTGATTGTACTTGTAAAATCATGCATGCACACGCCAGAAACCAGTTAGTGAACGAGATTGTTATTACTAGCAAATTTTAAGATTCCCTCGGATCGACTACAAGCAAGACGACGATTAAAAGATCTTTCTGGGTTTGTCTCCTCCCCTCTGTCAAAGCATTCGGCATTCTTGACCGTAATCCAGAAACATGGAAGAAATATTTTGGTTTTGAAACAAGAATTCCGCCACGGAACGGACCCCGATCGCCAGTAAACTAACACCGCAGGTGGGAAGTGGGCTTAAGTATTTTACTAGTGATTATACACCACAACAACAAAAATTTGACAGAAACTAGACAAGAAGTAGTATATTTTTTTTCTTTTAATCTCCCACCCTTTTCATCACTAACTATCAAGTTCAAGATTTGATTTCTGAACCTAACAGCAATGTTTTCAGAACCGGACCGGACCGGCCGGTTCGACCGGTTGGACCGCGAACCGGCCATGTCACCGGTCCGGTCTAATGTTAAAGCCGGAAGTTCATGGAGAACCGTTGAAACCCGGACGAACCGTGCGAACCGTTAAGAACCGTGAACCGGCGGTTTTTAAATTCTTCAACAAAATATCAAGAATGGTGTAGCTAAGATTCGAACCTGGGTCTTCAAGTTTAAATATGACAATCTTACCGCTAGACTGTACTTAAGTTTGTTGAGAATTCTACTTGACTAAAAAATATATTAAAACATCAAGTTCTTCTCTTATTTTTTTTTTTCAATTTTTTCTTCTTAACCATTTTTAACCCAAATATCCACAACAAGATTTTCTCAAGTCTTCACCATTATTATCAGGTTATTATCTTTAGCAGATTGTAAACAAGTTGAAAATTTCAACTTTTCTTGTTTTTCAACATTTTAGTAAGTTTAATTTTTTTCTTTTCAAGGTTTTTTTCTATATTATTATCTTTAGTTGATTTTTTGCATTTTCTTCTTTTTCCCCTCAATTTTCATATGTTTCCCTCATTTTTGTTTTATTTTTATTCGATTAATTAAGGATGAAATTTTTGCAAAAGTAGTGCACATCCGTGTAGGAATTGGGTAGGAATTACAAATAATAACATTGGGTTGGTCAAAAATATGGTAGTTGGCACATAATCGAAGCTATTGATAATTGAATTTAAAATAATTAATGGTATAGGATCATTGAATTTAATATAACATGTTAATTAGTAATGTTTAGTAGCAATTAATTTTTTATGTGTTTAACTGTATATTTGTTTTTCAAAAATTTTTAGTTTTTTTTAGTTTGAGCAATTAGATTTATATTTTTATAATAAAATTTTAACTTTTTCAGCTTAAGTTGATGAAATTGTGAAGGTGGTGTGGTTGCTTATCATGCCACTGATAAAAGTTTGCTATTCAAATAGTTTGTCTTAACTTGAACTCTTTTATGGATTTTTTTAAGGGTTGTAAAAGAATTTCAATATTTAATTTATTTATTTTTTGTGTTTTTATTTGTGATAATTGGTGCACATTTGGATTGTATCTATTTATGTTTATAATGAATTTATGAAAACTTGTGGTGAATTATGATATTTTAATTATATTTATCATTCCATGTTTTGTGTATAACTTTTAGAAAATTTATTATTATCATAACTTAAATTAAGTTATGTTGGTAAAGTTCAAGTGTAGAATGAAACCTGCTTAGTACTTAACACTTTAAAAAAAAAAAAAAAAAAAAAAAACAGTGAACCTTTGAACCGACCGGTTGGACCGGTCGGACCGGTCGAACCGCGAACCGGCCACCTCTCCGGTTCACTGACCGGTCCGAGTTTAAAAACATTGCCTAACAGTGGACAGAGGTCTAAAAGCCCCGTTAGAGCTTTCTCCGGACCATTGGATCAGTTACCGAAGTTAATTAATCATGTGTATGATAAGCTCATGTGCACGTAGGTTATCTAAAATTTTGGAACTCCTGATTAAGATATCCAAATCAATTGGGGACATGAGTTAACCAAACGTGGAGTAGTCCATTTGCATTTTGAACTTTTTGAATTTTGAGTCAAACACAATAGTATCATGTGAAATAAATTCTCCTCAAGAGGGGCATATGAAATGCCAGATCGATATAGAACAACCGAACAAATGCTCACCACGAAATCACTGGCCCGCTTGGCTTGATTGCCCTTTCTCAGACAATTTAGGCCAAGAAATCACTGGATGCATTTGATAAAATTGAAGTTTGAATTCATTAAATTATTGAATTGTTAAGTATTAAATATAATATATTTGAGTGCATATTACATTCAGTAATAAGAGAATAAGTTATCACGTAACTTTAAGAATAAGTTTTGCCTAGGAAATTCAATATCATTTAATTAATTCAGATGTTCAATTTTTTGCTATCAAACGGTTTGAATATATTAATATTTGAATCCATTAAATTTAAGTGCTGAATTGGATTATCAAACAGGGTCTTAATCCGACAGATACATCTTGGACAGCATCTGTATTATTCTGTTTTAGAGTTTACATTTTATTGCATGGTAGAATCACGCTTGGCTTAGATTTGTCATTTTAATACGAGTACTTACTTTACATCTAAGCTAGCTTAATTTCTTGACGATCAATCTCAGTACTTTGGCTAAGGAACTTTTATTACGTGGATTTGATTAGTGTATTAGAACATAGCACAACTTATAAATGTGGTACAAAAACTTAATACACAAGAAATTTTGTTTAAAGCTCCTGAAAGACTACAGAACAAAGTAGTTTGTTTAAAAAGCTATACATACCTTCAGAATAAGGAACAGGCGAGTGAAAACTCATGAAAGATTAAGAAAGGAAGGCGAAAGGCTTACCCTTAATACAAACAGTGAAGGATCCTTTTTCGTCTAGTTCAAGTTTTGGATATTTCTTCACGGAAATAATCGTCTAGCAGAATTATTTTAACACGCATCATTCAAGCGTTTCTAAAGTTCCGGTCGAGCACAGTTTAGACTTTAGACATGCTTTTATGAAGGAAAAAGGAAAATCCACTGTTAAAGAACATGATGAGCAACTATGTAAAAAGTCAGAAAGTGTACGTGGTTAGGATATTACTGTACGGTAAGTTAAACGGGGAAACGGGAAAGGTGGTAAAAAAAAAAAAAAAAAAAAGGAAAAGAGGGAGATTTAGTGTAAATATATTATTTGTCACTTTTTTAAACTTTTATTTTTACCCTTATAGAAACTACTTTTATTTTTAACTTTCTAAAGACATATTTGTGATTGATTATCTTGAAAACATGTGTTACTTTTCAAGATGACTAATCCTAAACATTATTATAACTAACAATATAATAATTATTATGTGAAAGAAACTTAAGAGATTAAAGTCTACTTTAGCAATACAAAATTCATTTATCATAAATATTATGCATTTTTTTATTACACACTCGTAGATATATAGAACTCCCCATACGATGCATTTCTCTAATTTTGTTTAAGTATCGGACCTGAAAAGTCACATTGCTTGTGCCACGTGTGGGTAGAGCAATTTGAGCTACATGGGTAGGCTTTGATTCAGGAATATTCTTTTTTCATATTCGGCAACACATTTATTCTTGTATTTTGGTTTTGACTTTGACCACAAAAAGAAAAAACTGACCTCGATAATCATGAACCATGATGCTAAAAATTGAAGAACAAAGCATGATACAATAATGTACCGTAACACACGTTAAGAATTAAGATTATGATAACTACTTGATGGTTTGTTTGTTGTTTTTTTTCCTAACTCGCTTTAGAGAATTCAAACTTGACATTATTTATTGGTTATTTTCTATGTCACCTTGAATACCAAATTCAAACTCTACTTTGACGACCAAAAGATAAAACAAGTGAGATTCACGCCAAATCGGAATGAGGGCAAAAAAAAAGTAAAATGGAACCTTCGACTGACGGACTGGGCCTGGTCACCAAAAAGTAGATGAAGCAAGTCCATAGGCTTGTCGCATCTGTAAGAGTCACCCTACTATTTCTTGGACAGGTTTTATTGGGCTTGGGCCACAAGGAGATCTTTGATTCAACACAGAAGCAACGAGGCACAGGCCCCGCGCGTCGGGAGAAAAATGTTCCTTCGTCTTCTTCAGAATTTTACTGACTCTGAAGAACAATTCCCGTTCGTTATTTATTTATATAAACAAATAAATAAAAAGAACTTAAGAAACCCACCTAGTCCAAAATCACGCTGGTTTTTGTTTCCTTCCTTCGAATTTCCCTTTTCAATGGCTGCTACGGCGGCGAGTTCTTCGACTCCGGCCGAGAATGACAAGCCCGTAATTGTCAGGGTTAAAAGGAAAGCTTCTCAGTCGCGGATCGATGCTTTCTGTGGGTTAATTCTACGGTTTACTCTTGCATTTTATTTCAGCTTTGTATTTTTCTCCTCTGTTTACCGGAATTCTGGCCGAATTTACTGA